TCTTTTCTAGTATTTGTAATCATCTTATTATTGATTAACAACTTTCTACCAGTTTTTTGTTTTTGAATGCACTGATCTTCAGCGAGGTAAATCCCTGCTGTGTAAATCTGGTGATTTTGGATCTATACTTTCTCAAGGACTCGGTATTTTCCATGACTTCCTGTCAAAAACTTAACCATTTCACCTCCCCATATTCTGACACCTCAACCAGAAATCTCTCCATAGTTTTCCACAGTCACACACAGAACTCCGTCAACGAATTCTTCACATCCTAATGGGGACTTTTCTGAGAGTTTCACTAACTATAGATTCAATAGAGGATCAGGTGCTTAGCACAAGACAGGTAGGCCATTTGGTGAAACATTTAGAATAGAAATTCTTCAGCCACACTGGCTAGGTCTAATTTCAACTCTGTCACCCACCGGGTTCATAATCATTAGCAATGTCTATGTGCCTTAATGCCAAAAGTAATAATACAAGTCAGGTACTGAGATCTCTGCCCAGTCTACATTATACTGTCTATGAATGGTAGTTCTCATTATGATTCTCTGCAACATACCATGTTAGGTTTTACGGGAGAAATGCTGAACAGAACCGGACATGTTTTCTGCCCTTGAAGAAGTTACATCTCACCAAAAGAAAAAAAGAACAAAGAAAATGTTACATCTTTGTTACGTCTAACAAAAGATGATTTCAATTTTTCAATTCCTGACCATCTAATTTATGGGCCTCTGTGGATTCCTCTTCACCGTCTGAAAACATTCAGCACAAACATTTATTGCTAGGGTCCTGGGGAGCTATCTCCCTCTGCCCCTCAAGTTAATGGCTGTCATAACCTTAAGACAGAAGAAAAAGTTAATTCTGTCAAGACCACAAGACGATTCATGGACAAGTAGGCAGGGCAATCTCCCTCACTTTCTATGACATCCAGCACCTGTTATCACACTACGCTGAGTGAAAATCAAGTTAATTTCCTTCTACAGGACTCAAAAGGAAGGTCTTACTTCCTCTAGCTCGTAGAGTGATTCTCTTTACTCCGTAATTGGCTTATTATGATCTCACATATTGTCCTATATATCTCATATAATACATATGCATGTATGAGAGAAACATTTTTAAGTGTTATATATAAGAGACTGTACTATATACTTTACAATATTACTGCATCAAAGAGCTGCTATTTATTAAAGAGGAGTAAAAGCAGCATTTGTTTTCTCAATACTGTGTGTGTTTAGCAAAAGAAAAGTTTTAAATTAGTAAAGTATACGATGCCTAAGCAATCTTTGTACAACATATTCTATTGTATTTTCTATCTATCTATCTATCAATCATCTACCTACCTAGACAAAGAGATGACAGATAGATGAATGGATAAGTATGAGAACTATGTATTTGGGTAATTTGCATTTGACATTTTAAATATTTCAAATATGACTTATCCAAAATACATAGTGTATTTCTATATTTGCATATAAGGAACAAAGACACAGAGGGATATTATTTGTTTTATAGACAAAGTTTATTTTCTATAATGAAATAACCTGAATTGATTTAACTTCCCCTAATTTTGTGTGCAAGCAAGCATACATCTAAAATCAACTAGTATTGCTTCCTTACATTGGGTGATAAAACCTTCCTTAACTTTAAATTATAGCACTAATTATGACATTTAAGAATGTTTTTCCATGTCCACAGGGATGCTTTTCCTTCTCCCAAAACCTTAGTGACCAACTTAGTTATTCGTTAAGTTTTAATATTTCCCCATGATTTACTATTATGGAATTTCCTTTTAGGGCTTGCATATTTTTTCCAAATATTATTAGTAGTATATTTATGAGATCAACGATTTAAGGATTAGAGTAAACTTTTTTAAATTCTTTAAAATATTTTTCATTTAAAGTAAAGTATGTTGTAGGCAAAACTCATGTAAAATTATGATTTCCATGAATAATGTCAGCATCATGCCCTTCCCGTGATGTGAGATGTAATGTCATTCAGGCTCCCTATAATTTGCTTAACATAATTTTATTCTTATTTAATATGAAAGTGAAATATTTATTTTAAAATATTAGAGAATAAGTAAAAGTTACAAATATTTTGGAAAATTCAGAGTGATGTAAAAATCAAAGTATACTTCTTTTTATGTCTTATAAAAAGTTGAAATTTATGTAAATCACATAAAGTAACTGTTTTCAATCTGATGTTATTACTAAGTTGTGTTAACCATGTGACATTACATTTCTGGGGGGCGGGGAAGCACTCATTACTCCCTACACTTCAACACGCTGTTTCTCTTTTTTTCACTTAGCTCTTGTGAATAATATATCAATGATATGTTATCAGTGTTTGCCAGTGGTTGAAGGCATCTCCAATGACTATGAAGATTCCAAGAGAAGGAATGAATGTTCTATATTGGTGATTTTAGCTTTTTAGCCACCTCATAGAGTTGATTTCTATTCTTTAGATTAACTTAATTTTTATGTTAGGTCCAGATTTTTACATAACAATTTTTACATAACATTAATATAGAGCAAATAATTAAAGCTCAAATTTTATAATAATAATAATATTAAAAAATGTCAAAAAGGTACAGAAAATAGTTTTTACCTGTGTTCATGGTGGAAGCACAGATGGCCCACTCTGAGAGGGTGGAGCAGACAGATTTTCTGAGCTCAGGAGTTTGGCACCAACCCAGACCTCCTGTCTACTAAAAACAGAAAAACAAGCCTGACCTGTAGTCCCAGCTACTCTGGAGGCTGAGTATCACTTGAGCCCAAAAGTTTGAGGTTGCTGTGAGCTGTGACACCTTGGCACTGTGAGACTCTGTCTCAAAAAGAAAAAGCTTAAAATTATACTGATGTTAAAAGAAACATGAAACTTACAACTCAAGCAACTTCATAAAATTGATGAATTAACTACTTGTATTTTCAATATTTTGGTAGTGCTTAATAATTCATATTGTGATAATCCTCAGTTGTGAGAAGATTCTTATTCTAACATGTATTCTCACGGAATTACACAGAAATGAAACATAAATAAGAAAACTTCTTTATAGAACTTCTGAGTATTATGGTGGGGAAGATCACTTTTATCACTTTTGCTTTGGTCTAGTGAGCAAATAGGTAGATAAGTTTTAAATGAGAAAAGCTTACAGCCGGGATAAATTGAATGAGTATGTAGTGTTTCCAGTCCTTCACAGGACATGTTAATTCCATTAGAGCTAGAGACACACAGGCCTCAAGAGAAAGAACTCAAGTTCTCATTCCTAAGCTAATTAATTTTGAGAAAACACAAAAAATACTGTGCTAATCGATGTCTTATTATTCAAATACATACATTGATAAAAAATGAGCTGTTAGTATTAATCTTTAATACAATATGGTTATGTCTAGAGTTTGCAAACGCATATACTCATGATTTGAGAAACATTAACTATAACTCAATTAGACAAGTTAATGAATATACAGTGTATTTAGTTTATTGAAATAGGTGACAGGGCCAATATGTAATTTGACTTGTTCTCAACAAATTTAAAATATATATAAAATGACGTGAGGAGACTGGTTGAGGCCAGGAATTCAAGACCAGCCTGAGTAACATAGTGAGACTTCATCTTTACAAAAAAAAAAACAAACAAACAAAAAGAAGAAGAAGAAGGAGAAAAAAGAAAAAAGAAAAATGATCCAGGTGTGTTGTGGTGGCACTCACCTATAGGTCCAGCTACTCAGTGGCAGCTGAGGCAGGAGGACCACTGGAGCCCAGGAGTTTGAGTATGCAGTGGGCTTTGATGAGTGCACTTAAGCCCAGCAACAGCATAAGACTGTGTATTTAATAAATGTGTAGGAGTCAGAATAAAAATTTTGAAAAATTTTGTATAACATATCGTATGATCTCCTATAAATGCATTTTTTCCTGAAGGAATACACAGTAGTGTTCAAATGAGCGCTATTTTGGAACCATGCTTTGAATCTTTATAGTGATTCAGTAAAAAATAACAAAGCCAATATATTTCTTTATGCTTATTCCATTAGCTCATTTAAAATACTTTAATCTTTTAAATTATAATGATTTGTAAAAAGTTAAAGTAATTTAAATTTTATATCATATAATTAAATAGATAGTAATGTTAAATAGCAGTACTGCTTGTGACAAATAATTATATATTTCCTTATCTTCTTTTGGAAAATATAAAGTGATTTACAAATATGTGGCAAATATTCAGGGTGACACAGCATAACAATAGGAATAGTGATGTTTAACCACGTCATCTAATTTTGAAGAAGGCCAAGACCCTTTACAATTAGATATAACTTGTGAACAGTAAATACCTTGCAGGTATATTTCATGCCATTTTTATTTATTTATTTATTTATTTTAATTCCTAAAATTTTAACTCCTCAGTACAAACTGATAACACAAGTTATTTCATGGTGTTGCCCAAAGAATGTATTATTTTCATCTGTCAACTAGAATCTTGGAGAAGACAGTTTAACAATGGTGGCAGAAAAATTATTTGTTTATTAATAAAAATATGGTCTCTTTATTTTTCCTTCTATTTATAATATATTGTCAAGTTTACTGGACAAAAGGAGTCTAGGGGGATTATCAACGTCAGGTATATCTTTAAAATATTGGTTTTCAGTTAGCAATAAATTGAAATTTTTGTATGCATTATACTGAGTTTAAAATGCTCGTCCTTCTAAATATTTCTAATCAGCTAGAATACTGTTCATCTCATTACCGATCTTTGTTATAAAATAGACTTGCTTATTCATTACTTTTTCTTAGAAAATGAAACAATGAAAAGGAAGGAATAGTTACATTTTTTTAAACAAAAGAATAAAAGAGCAAGATGATAATGTTTTGAATCAGCATCATTTAAACAAATTTCTTCAAACATGTACCAGTGTCTAACACACCACGCTATCAGCAATGTTTTCAGAAAGATTGTTTCAAATTTGCAAGAATCTAAGTGTTTGTGTGTTGGGGGGTTTATGTAGGTACATCTGTTATCCAAGTGACCGCAACAGATGCGGATGACGCCAACTATGGAAATAGTGCCAAAGTGGTGTACAGCATATTGCAAGGACAGCCATATTTTTCAGTGGACCCAGAATCAGGTAACAGCATTTAAAGTTGGCCTACTACTCACTGTGTTATACATTTGAATGGAAATTAACGTAAAGATTTTTCTGTATTTTAAAACCTGTTCATTCAGTATTACATTTCTACTTGATCCCTCCAGTTTATCCATGGAAACAAAACCAGAATTTGCATTACTGAGATAGCTCCTTTGAATCCTTTGCTCTTTAGATCATTATTCAGTGGGTTTGAATTTAAGACACCAGATTCAAAATTTCACAGAGATTCAGTCTATAACGTAGTATAGGAAATACGCAACATCTAAGGACTGTGATGATCATCAAAATTAAGTAAGTTTATTTGGCTAAAGATTTTTGACTGGTATTTTTTTACAAAAGAATAAATACCATGATTTAGCAAAACCCATTTGGAAACAACAGCCCACAGCAGAATTCTTTCTCTTCTGTAAATTATGTTAAAATGGTTGCCAATTGACAGATATATTCAAGTACAGTGGCATTTTCTTCATTTGTCATAATTTAATTTCTGTAAAATGGATCTGGCATAGATTAATGTTAAAGCTCAGTGATTTAATTGCAAAACATATTTTGACTTTTTCCAACAGGCATAATAAAAACTGCATTACCAGACATGAGCAGAGAAAACAGAGAGCAGTACCAGGTGGTTATACAGGCCAAAGACATGGGCGGCCAGATGGGAGGCCTTTCTGGGACCACCACAGTGAATATCACTCTGACAGATGTCAACAACAACCCTCCTCGCTTCCCCCAGAGTAAGAAAGTTTTCAGTGATCTGTTAAAATGTATCTCAAAAACATTAATTACAGAGTCTAATAATTGTACTAGTGGTTTCACTATTATTTTGTTATTAAAGGCAAATCCATAACCCCTACTCACACACACACAATTTCCTACAAATTGAAAACGATCATAATTGTTTTCATCATTTTTTTTGAGTGGATTATGGGAGAAAACAAGGGCATGAGGTTCTTTGGCAACTTTGATTCTCCTTTCCTACTTTTTGAAGAGTAACTTTCTTTCCTAACATACACTACGAGCATCTCAGTAGTTTCCTTCTGGTCTCTCTTTTCTATCCATAGTTAGGAAGGCAGCATCTCATGTCTGGCATGCTGGATTCAAATCCTGTGCCTGCATCTTATCTTGCCTTAGCTCTCTCATTTATACATAAGGATCATAATATCTTATTTAACTGATTCTAAAACAGAGACTTGTTGAGGCTGGGCATGGTGGCTAATGTCTATAATCCTAATCCTCTGGGAGGTTAAGGTAGGTGGATTGCTTGAATTTAGGAGTTCAAGACCAGCCTGAGCAAAGAGTGAGATGCCTTCTTTACTAAAAATATAGAAAAAGCTAGCTGGGAGTAGTGACACATGCCTCTGTGGGTCATGACCCCTTTATAACAATGAAAATACATCTTGCATATCAGATATTTACATTACAATTCATAACAGTAGCAAAATTATAGTTATGAAGTAAAACGAAAATAATTTTATGGTTGGGGGTCACCACAACATGAAGAACTGTATTAAAGGATTGTAGCAGTAGGAGACATTAGGAAAGTTGAGAACCACTGCTAGTTCCAGCTACTTGGGACACTGAGGCAAGAGCCCAGGAGTCTGAGGTTGCTGTGAGCTGTGATGACACCACAGCACTCTACCCAGGGTGACAGAATGAGACTCTGTCTCAAAATAAAAAAAAATAAATAATAATAATAAATAAATCACAGGCTTGTTGCTCTTTCAAAATCTCTGACATAAGATACTATGTTAAAACCATTGCAAAGTGGTTTATTTGGTATCATATTTGTATTTTCTTAGTGGCCCATTTAACTTGGTTGTGATGACATTTTAGACATATTAAAGGCTGGTATTACACGTCATCAAGTTATAAAAATTAAATCAGTTATAGTCTCTCAGTTGTCACCATTTTGGGATATATTTTAAACCATAAATGCTTTGTATTCCATGAGCTCCCACAAAAATAGATTCCAATTTTCTACCATTTTTTTTGTTCTGTAGTGAATAAATGTATAAAAGACACTATCTTTACGTATTTAGTTGAAGACTCAAATTTAAATTCATATCATTGATTTTAATACAAGGAAATATTTTTCCAGGCCAAAGAAATTTAGAATATTTGATTCAACTTTAATTTGTGGAATTATCCATACAATAAATATTAAACAATCAAGATTTCTGAGAATACGAATAAAAAGTCGAAATAACATAAACCCAAACCTTACATTCTAAGTCATTAAACAAAATCTGAAAGAGTATTATTTGGTGAATTTTTAGTGGCTTCCCACTCTGTAATACTATGACCTATTATTATTTTAATAAAAGATTTGGAGCTATACTAATAATAGTAAAATACAGAAGACTAGATAGATCTTGGGCTAAATGTATTTCATACACGATCACCTGTAATCTATGTAACAAACCTATGAGCTAATTACTATTGCTATCATGTTTATTTTCAAAATTCTGGGAATTTGATTGACTTCCCAGTGATGAGAATTCAATCCACACAGCTGGATCTATAAGCTTATATTCTTAACCACAAACTGGAAAGGAGACTAGACTTTTAAGTCAGGAAGATTTTTGCATTCTCCTTTTTCCGAGACTTCCCTGATACCTGCCCCTGAAGATGATACACTTAAATTGATACTTACAGGACCAGTGTATGGGTTGAATAACTTGGCACAGAGGGCCTCTGACCTGACACAGCACATAGTAAATCTTAAAAAGCATTTCTGACACTCATTAACATATTTTGGCATTTTTCCACTATTGCCCTTCAGATAGTCAAAAATGTTTTCAGGAGCGGTCGAATGTGATATCATGATCGGCTGGGCCTGCAGAAAACAGAATACTCCGTACCCCACTCAAAGATACTAAAATTAAACCAAAAGAGCAAAACATAGACATTGTTGGGTGTGAAATTACTATTCATGTTCCATATAGAATTTTTAAAATCCTTTTAAAAATAATGGGATATATGTAAAAACGAGTAGATGATAACAATTTTGAAAGCCCCAGATAACCAGTAAATAAATAGTTTGCATGTTCCTCTAAGTCAAGAGTTCTGGATTCTAATATCAGGTCTTCCATCCATTATCTAAAGAAGCTTGAAACATTTACTTAATATTTCCATGACTTATATTTCTCATTTACAAAATGAGAGTGTTATACCTTTGTAAATTATTTTTCCAACTTATTTAATCTATAGTTTTTTGACAGCTTACAATTCAGTAAGATGAAAAACCCTCCCAACTAAAAATTAGTTTACTTAAGGAAAAAAGACAGAGGCAATAAAAGAATTTTGTTACCTAAAGATGAAATGTTGAAGCGCTTCATTTCATTCACAGGTACGTATCAGTTTAATTCTCCTGAGTCCGCGCCTCTCGGAACTCATCTTGGAAGGATAAAAGCCAACGACCCTGACTTGGGGGAAAACGCTGAGGTGGAGTATCGCATTACTGACGGCGACGGCGCAGACATGTTCGATGTCATCACCGACCAGGATACGCAGGAAGGGATTATAACTGTCAAACAGGTTTATTTTGCTGTCTTCATTTTTTCTTTGTGTGCTTTATTGTTTATTTTTGCTTTTAAGGGAAGAGAACAAAAGCCTGGGATTTACCTTGCTTCTTCCACACACTATCTTTCATACAAGTGGGAATAATTGTGATCTCACTTCAAATATAAGTTAAGCATCCTTAGCATTGGCGCTTAAACTATGTAAGGCCGCAGAAATCTTTAATTGCTTGTGCTGATAATTAAACTACAATTAGATCAACTCAGAGGCACTTTTGTATTTTTTAATGTAACTTTATGCCGCCGTTAGTGTTATTTCATACAGTTTTCACGATATCGTAACTGTATTCATCAATTGAAATAAAGGAAACCTGAAAATTCCACGTGTTGAAATTGGGTGTTTTTATTTTTAATGGATGAAGAAGAGCATTCTGAAAATTTACACACAAAGCCAGCTCAATATTGATTATTTTCTATTGTTTTAAATTCACTTTTTTTCTCATATTCTACTCAAATTAATGAAAATAATTTTCATTTTGTATGTGTATTTTATTCTATTTTCTCTAACATTACCATGAACAATTTTAATAATAATTATGTATAATCAAATCCATTAGTTATGTTTCATTAAACTGTGATTAAAAATGTTAAGGACATTATTAAGTAATAATCATTCTTAATATCTATACCATTATTCTTCATTAACCTTACATAAATAAGTATAAGTCAAATATTTGTTAATTTATTTGATATAGCTATGAAGCAATAATTAGGAAACTTATTTAACCATAACTGTTGGTATGTTATTCAGTTTTGAAATTGTCTTTCACTGTTAAGTCTTCTAAAATTTTTCTAATCGTTCTTATTTTGTTTAACTTCAGAATTTAGATTTTGAGCACAAAATGCTGTATACTTTAAGAGTGGATGCAAGTAACACCCACCCAGACCCACGATTCTCACACCTGGGACCCTTCAAAGACACAGCTGTGGTCAAAATATCTGTGGAAGACATAGATGAGCCTCCTGTGTTCAGCAAAATTTCTTATTTGATTGAAGTAGATGAGGATGTAAAGGAGGGAAGCATCATTGGCCAGGTGACAGCATATGATCCAGATGCCAGGAACAATTTAATAAAGTAAGTACTTTGAGAAAACTTATGCTTGCAAAAATATAACAATCTTATCACTACTTAAAAGCTATGTGGGAAAAAATAATATTTCACAACATATAATCCAGCACAGTAATAACAGCAAAGATGTCCAGAACACAAACTCTTAGCTAGAAGGTCTTTGAAATGCTCTGGGTATATTATTTTCCTTGAGTCTTTCCATACTACAAGGTAGATATTATTCTAACATCTTTCTGGGGACAAGACTGAAGCCCTGAGCATTTGAATAATTTCCCCACTATTCAGCACATTATTTAAATGGCAAATCTGGGTTCAAAGAAAAGCAGTTTAGCTGTAGAGTTAGTGTTTTTAATCTATTTACTGATGATACAATCTTGTCTCATCCTCCTTCTTGGTTAAATCAGAGTTCAAATAAAAACAACATAAAGGAATAAATTGTAAAAAAAATCTATTTTTCTAGAAATGTGAAAATTGTCACTAAGGCATACTTTATACCCAAATTTTGGAGAAACAATGTGTCAGTTATATTCTCATAACAACACAGAGTGTATAAGAGAGATAATATTTAAGTCAGTAAAGAAGGTACAGGTATTAACAATTAGTATAGCATAATTCCTTTCCAAAATTTGGATAGTTTTCACCTTCCAAAAGTTCTCAAATATGGCAGAATGTTAAATGATTCTTATAAATTGTTCTAGATAGGATATAAATGTAGTCATGCCATACGTAGATGAATGAGAGGGGTGGAAGATGAGAGGTGAACATGTAGGAAGAGAGAGAAGGCTTCACGAAGAGGTAGGTAGTACACTGGGAGGTATGGATAACGCAAGAGGTAGATAGTACACTACACTCTGTGGATAATAAAATACCTAAAACTCTACTTAAAATAGAGTTGTTTAATGAAGAAAAATAAATGGCAAAATTTATTCACATCATCCTTCACACACAGAAAATTAACAAGCACAAGAGGAAACATATAATTATTTAATTTTCACTTTAGGACTATCAAAATGTGTTATTTCGCAAACCAATGCTGCACTAAATGTATCCTAATGATGATGTAATTTGTTGGTGGAGTAATACATTGTTGAACATAGTAACATTTTTTAATTACAAAACAGTCCACAAAATTTAATCTCTACGTAAAAACCAGAGTTTATATTAATTTGAAAGTTTGGTTAGATTTGGATTTGTTAGAATATGTCTCACAGAACATCCCTTTTAAAAAATAAATGATTGTTATCAACTTCTCTGCTTTGTATCTTGCTCACCATTATTTTTCACACATGCGTTCTTGTTCATATAAGGATTACATTACTTGGACAGAATTTTTATCAATATACATTAAATACTCAATTTGAGATGTCCATATTGTTTAAAGCAAAACTCTTGAAATAAAATGAAGTAGCGTTCTAATTCCCAAGGGTGACCATGCACCTAGTAGCACGCTCATATCCCAAACCACGTGGATCTAGATCTTACTGAAATGTTATACTAGAAAGGAAGGGTATGGTGTCTCTCTCATGTAGATTTGCTGGGGGGGGGGGGAATGTGTCAATTATGTTACATTCATGTTTATTTGTAATACTGAGGTGGAGATAAATACCCATCTGTTTTTTAAAAGAGAGGGATTATTCATAGCAGTGGCTACAAATGGTCAGTGTCTGGTCTTGATAGGTTTTGTCAGATTTCCAGAGTCATCGATGTTGGCTGTGCCTTCCATTCTCCTTAGTGTGGTTTTCTCCAGGTGTTTATATTAGAAATCATATATTCATTTTTGAAAAGGGAGTGATTGTAACTTTTTAAAACGTAGTTATACACTATTAGAAAGTTGCAGACAGTGTCAATATATCAACTCTTTCAGATGATGAACGTCACAGCCCACTGCTGCCACCGCTTGTCAGGGCCCAGGGCTGGCCAGGTCTCTAGCTGGCTTATCTAGGTTCCTCACCAAAGGCTATGCTTTTATCTCGCTCAGGAATACTTGCTCTTTAGGTGCCTGAGGGCTATTTGCTTTAGCAGAAAGGAGAGAGAGTGATAGTCTTAGAGTGTAAAGCAGTCTTAGAATAGATCTTGACTGTCTTTATCGAGTTTAGTAATCTTCAGCGCATTCTGCAAGCAGGAGCAGGGACACAGTCAGACTAAGCGGGTCAGTGATAGAACCAGCTTCTCCTCCAGCCTCTTAACACCACAGGTGTAGAGACTGCCAATTCACTAATACTCTCATCTCTGGAGCTCTCTCATGCTTGTTAGGAGAGCTAAATTCCTCCCCATGCCCGTTCACTAAGGTGTTCCATGATTGAACTATGGTGTTACTTATAACTCTCACTCCTCCTAGCCATAGGCTACATGGGCTGCTACAGAGAAACCTATTATTGCCGGACCACTGAATCTGAATGAGCAAACATCTTAATAATAAGCTTTGCATTCTTTCCTCATTCATCCAGCACATTTGCATAATAGAAAGTCAATGAGTGTGGGTCACCTTACAAGAGGCCCAATGGCTCTCCGGCCTGGCCAAGGATATTTGTTCATTTATTCAGATCAGGGGTCTCATCACATTTTGTGAGTTCTTTAGTACTCCTTTCCACACAAACGTTTTCATCTTATCATTCAGTCCTATAATGAGCAACAAAATAAATGTTCTATAGTCCAATTGTGGCATCATTTTAATGACATTTAGACCATCTATTTTGTCTAGTCCCTCTTCCATAAAATAATAGTTGTCTTTGATTGAGCTCTTACTCTGAATGGGAAACTGCCTTAAAGAACTTCATATTTATTAGCTTCTTTAAATCTCATGACAATTTATAAGGCAGATATAATTATGATCACCCCACATTTTACAAACAATAAACTGAGATAGAGTTCATGTAACTTTCCCAAGGATGTGGCACAGAAATTTGCAGACTGGGAGTTGAAACTATTAGCTGTCTGATTATAAATCCAGTGTTAGCAAATATGCTGATTTCTCTGTGACTTGGTTATTAAATATAGATAATTAATACAATGTTCACCATTTGTAGACAAGTTCAGCTGATCCCAGTGGTACTAAGCATAGCCCTAAAGTAAAAAATTATGCAAGAAACAAAACATAGCTTTTGCTCCTTAAACTTTGGTTTAATTTTTTTTTCAAGACAACCATTTGAGATTTCATAAACTAACACTCTAGACATGTTATCTTATGAACTATGGTTTTATTTCTTTTCTTCTTTTTAACAGTATTGTTGAATTATAATTTACGTACACTATGCTATAGATAGTTAAGATGTATTATGTGATAAACTCTGGAATATTGATACCCCTGTTAAAAAATCACCACAATCAAGATAAGGCACATATCATTTATCTCAAAAGGTTCCTTATGGTCCTTAACAAGGCCTCCTTCCCAGTCCGGAATTCAACTCCCTAACCATAAGGTTTCTGCTTTGTGTAATAATCAAGCCATGTTTGACTTCTGCATTTATAAGGGTTACCATAGATAATAGAGAAAATAACAAATGTTATCACTATATAGAGTATTATGATTTCAATACATTCTTTTTCCTTTCTTAAAGTGTGTACACATTCTTGTGTCACCTTCTGTGTTGGGGTGCATTAGTATTTGTGTCACTAAAGGCTTTCACTTCTCTTGAGTGAATACTTAGAAGAGTATTAGCTGGCCCTATGGTCCATGTAGGTTTAACACTTGAGAAATTAATCTAAAAATGTGTTCCCTCATATTTATTTGAAATGAAAAAAAAAATAAATTTACAGGTTTTCCAAAGTAGGTGCGCATTTTCTATTCTCACGAAGCTTGTATGAGGATTTTAGTTACTCCCTATCCTCACCAATACATGGTGTGTCCTTGGTTTCACTTTTAGTTAGTATAATTAGCATGTAATAGTATCAAACATTATCTTGTTCAGGCTTTAAATTTAATTTCTCTTATGGCTGATGACATTAAACATTTTTCATGTGTTTATATAACATTCACATATGCTCTTTGATGCATTCTCTATTTACACATTTCCCTGTATTTTACAGGTTTATTTACTTATTAAACTTGTCTATATATAATGGATACTTATTTACTTATTATTAAACTTGTATATATATAATGTTCACTTATTACTAAACTTGTATACCTATAAAGGATATAGTCCTTTATCAGATACGACTTTCAGAAAGGAAGTTTTAATTATAATTAAATAAAACATAGCAACTTTTTGAATATATTGTTTGGTACATAATTTAAGGTAATAATATATTTATAGTCATATTATAAGTCTATGGTCCATATTAAGTCATTTACTTTAGTATGGTGTAAAGTACAAATCACATTTCTTTTCCTTTTTGTATATTGATATCCAAAGTTTCCAGAATGTTTTGTTACAAAGACTATCTTTTCTCCACTGAATTACTTATGCAAGTTTGTTGAAAATTAGTTTAACTTTGGACACTCACTTCTATTCCAATTATCCATTTGTCTCTATTTGCAAAAATAACACATTTTTGTGTAGCTTTATAAAAAGTCTGGAAATCAAGTAGTATTTGTCCTTTAGTTTTACTTTTTCTTGTTTTAAAGTTGTTTGTTTTTCTAAACCCCTTTTGTTTTCATGTGGCAATTTCTGCGAAGTCTTCCCCCAGGATTTTTATTGGGATTGTATTGAGTGTGTAAATATATGTATGTAGAATCAACATCATAAAGACATTGAATACATCAACCTGCAAAATGTATCTCCCTTAGTTTGGGACTTTTTTTTTTTCAGTAACACATAGTACTTTGTCGTCTTATGTGTACAGGTCAAAAACATCGTTTTTCAGAATTACCTTAAGATTATATACATATATACATTGATGTTATACATACATTGTTTTTATTTTAGTTTCTGATTTTTGTTTGTATTTCTACATTAGAGTATTCTTTATATTAATTTTATATCCTACGGCTTCACTAAACTCACTGGTTAGTTTTAATAGACTATTTAATAGATTCCATCTTACTTTTTACAAAGATAATTTAT